AAGAGATTATGATTCATCCAATAGAATAGTAATGAAATATAGAGATAAAATTGTTAATCTAAAAGTATGATTACTTTAAAAAAGATTGAATATATTAGCAATGTAAAGCTTTGAGTTTAATATATTATTTTTTAGTGTAAATATGTGTGTGGCAAAATCCTAACTTTGAATAAATTCTGCTTCGTGGCTTGATAATCTTAACAACATTTTGATAATATCACAAAACTGATCTCAAATAGTTCGAATTCGTTGTCGGAGAGATATCTTATACTCTTATTCTTGCGAGAAGACTTTTCACAGTTTAGAAGTGGAATAAAATCGATTGATTTACAGGTGGGATATATTTCATCATATCTCGTTCTCTTGGGCCTGAATTTGGCGCATCGGTCGGCATCGTGTTTGCGTTCGCAAATGCTGTAGCGGCTTCTGTGAATACGATCGGTTTCTGTGAATCCCTGAACGACTTGTTAAAAACGAACGGTTTGAAGATCATAGATAATAGCGAGAATGACATAAGAATCGTCGGTGTAATAGCGCTCGTCGTTATGATACTTATCTGCGCGGTCGGCATGGAGTGGGAATCAAAGGTATATGTATAGATTCGTTTATTCCAGAATTATTTGGTTTATTCCAGAAAATGTATATTGAATTTTTTAACTCGTTATATAAACAAATGACAATTAAAAAATACGATTATAAAATAAAATATTTATTTCAATTTATTATTAATTACTAATTATATTCTGCGCTTCTTTTATCAGGCACAAAACTTCCTTATAGCCGTCATCTTGGGTGCGATCTTTGATTTTTTAATTGGCACTATCATGGGGCCGCAAAGTGAAGAACAAAAAGCGAAAGGTTTCATAGGGTTCTCCGGTGGGTATAAAGCTGCGACTAATGAAGCAATAATAGTAATACGATGTGAATTAAATAAAATGAATCTAACAAAGAGATTATTTTAATAATTAAAAATATATATTATTTTTAGCGGACGTATTTAAGGGTAATCTCGGGCCGGACTATCGATTCTCCGAGAAGAACAATCAAACTTTCTTCTCGGTGTTCGCCATCTTCTTCCCATCGGTCACCGGGATTCAAGCGGGCGCTAACATATCCGGTGATTTAAAAGATCCAGCGAGCAGCATACCTATGGGGACTCTTCTCGCTCTGCTGATCTCTATGTTCAGTTATGTAACTTTTGTCTTTTTTGCCGGTGCCGCGGCTGTCAGAGACGCAGATGGTTTTGTGAACAGCACTATTGTGGAATGTATTCCCAACTGCACGTACGGACTACACAATAGTTACGCGGTAAGTATATATATGTTGCTGAAGATATGGTTTCGAAATTATAACATTCTCTCTCATTTTGATCTCAAATGGCAGCCTCAGAGTTAAAAAATACATCTTTAAAAAAAAGTAGAGTATCATTTTTTGCAGTAAAAATCTTAAATTAAGAATTGATTGAATTTATTCGCAAATTAACTTCGCAGAGCATAAACAGTGAAATTTACAATGTTATATTTTTTAATTAATTATACTAGTGCACTTTGTTTTTACAAAAATATGCGATGTGAGAGATAAAAGCAGATAAAGCTGCTAAATAAAGCTGTCTAATTTTGCAAACAAAATAAATTTAATGTTAGTCGCAGCAGCAAATATTCATCTAAAGGAAATTTGCCAAGACATTGTAAAAATACACAGTAATTGTTAGATATTTTTATTTAGTAAGTCAGTTATTAACTATTAATATAATTTTATACAAAGTAATTTTTTTTTCAGGTCATGCAGTTAATGTCATTGTGGGGTCCGCTAATTTACGCGGGATGTTTCGCAGCTACTTTGTCGACGGCGCTGACAAATTTATTGTCAGTGCCGAGACTCATTCAGGCTTTGGGTCAAGATCGAATTTATCCCGGGTTGATTTACTTCAGCAAAGGATACGGAAAGTCCGGGGAACCCTATCGAGGATACGTTCTCACATTTGGCGTTGCGGCTCTCTTTCTCTTAATCGGTAAAATGACTGTCTCGAAATATGACGAACTTTATTGGAAGATATTGAATTGCTATTATCGTTAACTCTGTTTCCTAGAAACTCTTAATCGTTTCCCTTTCAGCCGATCTCAACGTAGTCGCACCGCTCATCTCAAACTTCTATTTAGCGTCGTACGCTTTAATCAACTTCTGCACTTTTCACGCAGCGTTGATTCGACCTCTCGGATGGCGGCCTAGTTTTAAAGTAAATTAGAAATTTATCTAATTAAAATAGTACAAAAATCTAGAGAACGACACGTTTTTAAAGACGCTTAATCTTCAATACCACAATATCATATTCGATACTATGGATCTCTCTTCGTGTGTATGTCGTCATATGTTTAAAGAAAATTTATTATAATTAAAACAGGGGAATGAGATATTTTAAAATTATATTATTTTTTTATTTATTTTATTACATGCTTCATTCCTTATATTTAAAAATAATATAATTATTCTTTTTACGAAAAGACTAAAATAGTACCCGTTGAGAATTAAAAAATTTTAAGAGAAAAGATTAAATCTTTTTTAAGCGTCTTTACAACCGAGATAAAAATAAACGCGCATTATTAATTTCTTCTTTTTATAGTACTACAATACCTGGCTGTCTCTAATGGGTTTTATTCTTTGCGTGGCGATTATGTTTCTCATCGATTGGGTGACTTCACTTGTCACCTTTGTCATCATCTTCGCGCTATATCTAATAGTAGTCTATCGTAAGCCAGACGTGAATTGGGGCAGCAGCACGCAGGCGCAGACCTTTAAGACTGCAATTTCCATCGTCTACAGGTATTATTTAAAAAAATAATAACATCTGTTTGCATTTGTTCTTTTTGATCGGATTGATTCCTCGCTTGGAATCCTCATTAAGAATATCTCCGTCTTTGTATTTTAATTCGAAAATTTCAAAATGAGGCTTTTAATTTGAAAATGATAACTTTTAGGTTGAACTCTATTGACGAACACGTGAAGAATTACGCTCCCAAAATTCTGGCGCTTACCGGCCCGCCTGCTGCAAGACCCGCGTTGATACACTTAGCGAATCTCATCACGAAGAATAATTCTTTGCTGATTGCTGGCGAAGTCTTTCCGGTATCGATTTAGTCACAATATAACTTTACGCTTATTTGTAGTCGTTTATGTGGCAAAATTGTGACATTGCTAAATTTTCAACGCAATTTCAGACACGACTGTCGTATCGACTACGCTCCGTACGCCTGAATAATGGTTCCTTCTGGCTGCAACAACAACGCATAAAATCATTTTATCACTTGGTGGATGACTTGAGCCTGGAACGAGGTGCTGCCGCGCTGATGCAGGCTACCGGGATAGGCAAATTAGCTCCCAATGTGGTCCTCATGGGTTACAAGACTCACTGGTCGACGTGCAATCACAGAGATTTGCAGGAATATTTCAATATTCTTCAGTAAGTTGATTGACTGCCTGCTCCTGAATTAGTCTAAAATGGCAAATAATAATTGCGGACAGCGCATTCGAAGATTTTAAAATTCGTTTTTTTTTCTCAGCAATGCTTTCGATAACAAGTTGGCTGTAGCAATCTTGAGAATTGCCGAAGGTCTGGATTGTTCTGGCATCACGAATGGAGACGATGCGAATGGTTACGATGACCACGGAAGTCTCGCACAGAGTAGCTATAATTTGGCGGGGAACACTCTAATGCACGCCGACAGCAATCTCTCCATGAGCACGCAGATTCCCAGAGTACAAAGCGTTCCGACAATAGGTAAGAACTAATATTAAACTAATGTTAAATTAAGACAGAAAGAGATTATATCGCCTTTTTTCAATTATGTCAATATTTATAGTTTATTGTTATTTATAATTTATGCATGAAACTGTATTGTTTTATCGTTATTTAAAGAAGTTATTCCATTTTTTTGCGAATATATCTTGAGCAATTTATTAAATAGAAATTAGCTTTATTTATATAGATAAACAACGAATATGTAATTAAAAAATGTAATTTTTCCATATATTTGTTTCTTACATATTTCGGTTTAATACCATTAGGTACCCCATTTTCCACACCCGATACGACACCTGTGATCGGATATTCAGCGATACATTGGAAAGCTCAAGAAAATTTAAAACAGAAGAAAAAACACGCTGTTGATAAACTGCTGTAAGTAAAACGTTAAACATTTTTACTATATTAAATATTATCAAAAGTTTGCTTCGTCAAACTTAGAATAAATTTTGTTCCATGAAAATTTAATCATACGTTTTTAAATTTTCTTTATTTTTAATTTAAAACAATATTAAATATTTTATTAATTAAAACCTAAATCAAATTTTTATTAAAGCGGCTTAAAATTAACTAAGAAGTTTATTTGTTTTATACTATTAAAGTTTTATACTTGTCACGTTTTCAATTCTTAAAGTTTAATATCTTCTTCATTATGTGTATATGAATTTTAAAGTAATTTTTTTTCTCAATAAAATTTTGAAAATCCAGAAAAGAAATTATTAAAATGTATGTATTGTTAACGATTCATTATTAATTATTTTAGCGAGAGACGAAACGGCGGAATGGCTTCCATACCGGAAAATGTAACAATTTTTCAACAGAAGTACAAAAAAGGAACCATCGACGTATGGTGGCTATATGACGACGGAGGTGACTTACAAAAATAGATTTAATCGGATGATTGGGGTATGTCGACTGAGTTGATTTAGACACGTACCTCAATCATCCATATAAAATTCGTTGGAATTTCCGACTCATTTATAAGTGGCAGAAATTATTATTCGACAGGTTTGACAATTCTCCTACCGTATATAATCAGCACGCGCTCAAATTGGAAACACTGCAAGATGAGGATATTCGCTCTGACCAATCATAAGCATGACCTCAGCGCGCAAGAAAAAGAGTAAGTAAATAATAGGAGATATAAGGTGCTTTAATGTGCGAACACTGATAATTTATCGAGGAAGTTATTTTGAGCAAACAATTTCACGAAAATGTAAATAAAATATCTCGCTGTAAGATTATGTTATTAATTATCCTGCAGAATGGTTGAGATAATGAGTAAGGCACGAATTAACTACAGCAGCCTGAAGATAGTAAATGACATCGGCGTTGAATTAAGAGAGGAGACGCGGTCTTTCTTCGACAAATTAATATCCGACTTTCGGATAAACGATTCTTCCGAAAATGGTGGTAGGTTATTGGCATAATTTTTATTTAAACGATCCTTAATATGCATCTAATATGCATCTAATATTCAAAGTAAATAATTATTATTTTTAGAATGTTATATTACTGATCAAGAGCTTCAGACTCTACGAGAAAAAACGAATCGGCAACTGCGACTGCGAGAATTATTATTAGAAAACTCGAGTCAGTCCACCTTGGTAGTTATGTATGTATAATAATATATATTTAGCATTATATAATATTCTTCATTGCAAAACATAAATATCTATATTCGTATATTTATGTATAATAATTTTTTATTTTAAATTATATTTGTTTAATATATAAAAATTTAACGTAAAAGCAAAAAAATATCAACGCCTGATGTACTTGAATATTCTTGAAAATAAATCCATAAAAAATATAGATTTTTGTAAGATTATATTCAACTACACGGATTATAGGAATATGTAACTCGCATAACTTCTTACATTATTTTCTGCATTACAATTTACTGCATTATTCTCTTTGTTATTGATGATTTCTTAAGAATGCTTTTGTAATTCATAGGTCTTTACCAATGCCAAGGAAGGGTGCAGTTTCAGCGCCCTTATACATGGCTTGGTTGGAAACACTTACGAGGGACATGCCACCCACGATTTTAGTCCGCGGAAATCATACATCTGTATTGACATTCTACTCGTAGTCCACCGAGCATAATCTAATTATATCTGGTATGTCTTAGCAACAACAATAAAACAATTAAAAGATTTTAATTAAAAGATTAATTTATCAATCGAAGAAAAAGGAGCCGTAATAAGGTGTTTGTGTTAAAAAATTATATATTAAAGTAAAAAATAACAAACGTTTCGGACCTTTATAGGACCATCTTCAGTGTCGCATAAAAATTAAGTCAATTTCGGATAAAGTTAACAAACGTTACAAATATTACAACTAAAATTAACGCAACTTTTGTTATATATTTTATACGCGGGCATAAATATGCGTTTTTCCAATTTTTTCAATTTTACTAGATATAATTTTGGATGTTTTATTTGTTATAAGCACATCATTACTGAAATGTCGATCCTACAAAATAGTTCACAGCAGAAAGAAACAAACTTAGATTATGGTCCACTTCGAATTCAACGTTTTAACCTTAACCCATTGGCTGTGTAAGAGAATTTTACTATTTGGGCCAAATGTGTGTTGAAAAAAAAGTTCATCGGATTATTATGAAACTTGATACCTTTATGTTTTTTGGGTTTCTGAATCCGAATATGATGTCAGATGTACAAAATTCAAAATGGCGGGTCCAATATAGCGGATCAAAATTACAAAAAATAGACGGAATTTTATTATCATTATTTTAAATTTTGAAAATCTGACTTCATATTCGGATTCAGAGACCCAAAAAAACATAAAGGTACCAAATTTCATGAAAATCAGACCTTTTTGTAATTTTGATCCGCCATATTGGATCCGCCATTTTGAATTTTGTACATCTAACTTCGGATTCGTAATCAGCGACCCCAGAAACCCCCGAGTAACAAGTTTCAAGCAAATTCAGAAAGTTTTACTTTGTTTTTTCTACGTTGCGGCTATAGCCATCATACACACTCTTAGCCACTTTTGTTTTTGCGGCTATAGCCGTCATACACAGTCAACGGGTTAACTGTTGCGTTAAGTTTAGTTGTAATATTTGTAACGTTTGTTAATTTTATCCAAAATTGACTTAATTTTTATGGGACACTGAAAATGGTCCTATAAAGGTCCGAAACGTTTGTTATTTTTTACTTTAATATATAATTTTTTAACACTAACCTTGTTACGGCTCGAGGCTCCTTTTTCTTCGATTGATTTTTAATCTTGTGAGCCTTTTTGTTATATATTAATTTCTCATTTGCATTTCTTAATATCAATTATTCAAAATGCATTTTCTTCTAAAGAGATATAATCTTCATGGCGATTTAACTTTATAAGTATAACTTTATAATATAACTTTTGCAAATTGCTTTGATATTCCTTTTTCAAGAGATGGTCGAGGCCTTCTATCCGTAATCATATTAAAACGCTTTATATTCGTTGCAGAAATTTACTGTCCGTTTTTGCCAAGTTTGGAAAATGGGCTTGTATCGTCCATATCGGAACAAAGAAATGGACGAAACGACGTGATTGGAGGTTTTGATAGCCTACAACTGATAAAGTTGCCGAACTCGAAGATTGTAATGACGAGCACAACAAAAGGACCTTACTGGAGCTCAACCATCGATATGACCCAGCAAGATTCTCGAATATGTGCGAATATGACTTATAATTAGCTGTCCTATGTGAAGAATATGCTAATGAACATTAACGATAAGAAGATAGTGAGAAAAGATTCGAGTCTTTTGGCAGAATGAGCGAACGCTTTATCTCTGAATCGATCGATAAATGGTGAAGACATTCTCCAACCCAACGAAATCCCAGTTTGACAAGAATAGTGTGAGATATGCCAACAATCAAATTTTGGCAGAAAAAACTAGGAATAATAAAAATAGAAATGTTTTGAGAAAGACATAATAGTGAAATAGTGAGGATTGAGAAATGGAAAGAAGAATAATGAAGCAGGAAGAAAATAGGGACATATTTTATAGAAAAGTTTCATTGTGATCGAATAGGATTGCTCGGATTAGAAATATAATATAGAATTAGCGCTATTATTGTAAATAACTTGGCTATTTTTTATTAAGTTTAAAAATGTAATAAAGTTTCTCCAAAACAATGTACAATATATAACTTTAACTATTTAATATTTTAGATATTATTAAAATTATTTGAAAACAATTCTTGCAGGCTCTTCTCATTTCATTTTAATCTAACGCATGTAATACCATATTTTTTAGTTAAAAAAAAAAAAAAATTTGCGAAAATACATCGCGAGTGAATAACGAACAATCAAAATAAAATAAAAGACAATAGCTGATACATGTCTTATCTTGTCTCAAACCCAAAAGTGATAAAAGTAAAACTGCAGTAGTTTTAAATAAAAATCGAATATTATCGAATCGTAAATATATATAAGAACAATCTTACATTAGGATAATAATAAATCATAAAATTGATATTATATTACGATCTATATAGTCTAAATTAAATCGTATAAATTTTAACAGTCACGACATTTTCTGCAAAATAGTCGATTTTTAATAGTATTTTTTCAAAAAATATTAAGACATCTTACCAGACATCTAAAAGATGTCTAAAAATTGTTCAAATGTCTTATAAAATTGTCAGAAAGATATCTTTTAGACATACGTGTTGCTGGGTTGTCGGTGATATGATGCGTTGCAGTTATCCCATGTTACCCGTCGGAAATATTTGTAGACATCAATGATAGGTACATGACTACGTAGTTCAACGCACACGTTTCATGTACATAGAGGCGCCAGTGGACGGGTTCCGTGTTGGCCATGTTCCATCTTCCATCTCCATTTAAAGTCAGTGGCACACGGTACATATTTTCCTGCTGGATTACTTCAGCTCACTGTTCATTCTCAGGTTTTTCTCTCTCCTGTAATTAACCATCATATGTCATAACGCATGTTCTGAAGATGGAGAGAAATATCAGCAAAATACTTGACATATCGTGGAGATTCGGAGGTAAGATAATAGTTTATAAATTGAGACCAATATTGATGTTTGTCATATTACGTTCTTAGGTTATTATTATCTGTTAGAAGATCTATTAAATAAGAAACAAAGATATTTTATATTTTAATTATCATTTGCTATTAATATAAAAATTGTGTATATTGTATTTCTATTTAATTTAAATCTTACATTTGATTAACTTTAGTAATAAATACTAATAAACAAGGTATATAATTTAATTAAGTTATGCAAATTTTTATTTCCGAATTGTATTCTTATTTATAATAGATTATGTATTCTCACTATAATGCCAATCATTAATGAATAACTATGTCATTTTTTTTAACTTCTTTTAGTGACCGCAGCAAGTAACGATTCCAACAATGTCGCAAAATCATTTCTACAACTTAAGTTATGTCTTGATGATGATGGTAAAATCAAGAATGTATTTATTGAGATGACAATAGGGCAGTTTTACAAATTTCTACATGATTTGGAAAAGGCAAAATGTAATCTTGATTTGTTATTGTGAACAAATTATACATGCATATTAAAATAATATTCTATGTAGATGTTACCCGTATTAAGATATATATTTACAACTCAAACAATTGTTTTTTGAAAAAGTTTTTTTATGTATTTTCTTATAATCTACATTTTTTAAAATAAAAATATTTACTATCTTAAGAAAAAAAAATTTAGATTATCTATATAGTAAGATAGTAAAATATTTTAATTAATATTCTTTGGATAACATTCATCAACATCATAATCTTAGTATCATAGGCCCTCATAATTAATTTAAAATTTACAATGTATGGCTCGGTCTATAATCACTTAGGAAATTCAGTATTAAGTCGCATAGGAAATTACAAATATTATTTCGATTTTCCACTTAATAATTTTAACTGTATATAAGCTGCTCTATGTGAACGGATCAAATTGTGGCTTTGAAGCAAGAACAGAAAAAAATCTTATAAAATTTAAAAAATAAATAATTTTAATTTTCCATGTTCTAATGTTATAACTATGAATTTATGTGCATATATATATATATATATATATATATATACATATATATATATATATATGTATAATTATAAAGTGCAATTTTGTTCCCTACGACATTTTTTTCCATTTCTTTCTATCTCAAAACTGCAGTTTGATTTAATGGAAACCTTGTATATATTTTAAGATTACAAATATTCGACAAGTAATTAAATAAATACAATAAATAAAAGCGTCAAGAATTTTTGCAAAAAAGTTGTCAACTTTATCAACTGCACTAGATTTATCATTACTATTTCGATAATGAGTTTTGCAAAACGTCTCTTAAACGGTATAAAAATGAAATTAGTCATGGATCACATTACAGACGTTAACAATACATATATCAATAATGGTCAGCTAAGTATCTAATATTGATAAATATATACCTTTTTTCAACACAGACAATCTTTTTCAAAACATAGGCAAATATGTTTACTGTAAAGTACCACATGTAATAAAATTATGACTACGTTGTAAGTATATTTGATTAAAACTTAATCAAAGGATCGGAATCGGATAACTAAATAACTAATAACTCATACCTCAAGAGATTGCTATTCCTCCTTTCTTTAGAAAAATATATACAGGCTTTACGCATCTATGTCGATCTTTGATTAAATAGTTCTGCGCATAATCTTCATATCCTCACACTTATCGAGTAATAAAAATATTGTACAATCTATTATTATATTTCCTTGAAACAATTGTATTATCAATATCCGCCCAAATTTTCATGCAGGCTCGGTTGCGAAGAACGTATTATCTGAAAGCAATATAAAATACATTTTTTACAATCAAATACAAAGTTCTCTATTCTAATAAATATACGTAATTGTCTGCAGATATATATAAATATAGGTGCGATAGGTTTTACAAGAGATAAAATGAGTACGTGTCAACAGCAAATACAAAAGTGAGAAACTTTATTTATTCTTCAACAATATACATTCATGGTTGATCATTTCATATTTCCCAGCTTAACAAAATCATGTAGTCATCACAATTAGGAATATTAAGAAGTAATTTAACAATCAAAACGCTATATTTTACAGCAATAAATATGTTTTCATATAAAAAAAGAAAAAAAAGGTTTAACATATCTCGTTAACTAGCAATAAAAATATTTATATTATCAAATGCTTATATACATTATTTATTATAAAACCTGTAACAATTCTATAATGAGACTGTATAAAATATTTAAAGTATAATCTGTTGAATATTTATTGTTGATATACTATTTGGAATGACTTCGGCCCAATTATTTTATATTTGATTCTACACATACTTTATACGTACTAATTGTGTAATTTTATAAAAGAAAGAAATATGCTATATTCTGTAAAAAAGTGAAGTAACTCAAACATAAAGTTCGTGACTCTAATACTGTGCTATAAAATACTATTAAGGATATCATCGAATCAGCGAAAATGAGAATAACGAGCCGTATATCAAGCACATTCCAAGCAATAAATATATCAATAAACTATCTTTAACAAAGTAATTAGACATATTTGGTCCCCTGACATTTAAAATTCTCGCATTTGAACGAACATGTTCATGGAACGAACGTGAACATGAAAAAATTTGGTCTTATGAAAAGGTCCTGCGACAGGATTGACAGTTCTAAAAGCCTTGCGTCTAGGAGGAAGCGGACTGAATACAGCACCTCTTTGGTTATTAGGCTCTGCTAATGCTAGCGCAGGATTTGTATGTTCGGATGATGAACTCTCTTGTAGTTTCAGTGCGCCTAATTGCAAGGACTTGCCTCTTTCCGCTTTGTCCTGAATAGACTCTAACACTGGTTGAATCGCACCGAGCAACGGCCGTTTGGAAGGCTCCGCAGACCAACATTGTTCCATTAACGTCCAACACTCCTCGTCAAAATGTGGTAGTCTCTCGGGCCTAAGACCTAACGTAAATACGTTCGCTTAACAATTCATGTGAGTATGCGACAGTAAAAAAAAAAAACATTGAGATAAGCAGTAATTTGAATAATTAAATATCAACCCACTTAAATCAGTTAAATCAGCCAACAATGATACACATTCCTCACTATTACTGAATTAAATTTGAGAAATTTGCATTATAGAAATTTTAATGTGATTTTTGTTTATCATGAAATATGAAATTACAAAATATGAAATATTAAATTAACCTTTTCTTTTTTTTAGCAAATAAATATATGATTATAATGCAGGTTCAACTTCTCTCTGTACGTAATGAAGTATTACCTTTCCGCACGCTTGTCCATAACTGCTCCTTGTTATGAAATTGTTCAAATGCATACGGTAATCGAACCTTCCCAGCACATATATACCAAAACAAGATGCCAAAGGCATAGACATCGACACTGCTGTCGTAATGGCCAGACAGGAGTTCCGGTGCCATGTGGATCGGCGTTCCTACGATACTACCTGACATCATAGCTTCGGTAATACAAAATCCGAGATCAGTTAGTTTAGCCCTGTTTTCCGTATCGAGCAAGACATTTTTCAATTTGATATCACGATGAACTAGGCCTTGCGAGTGAAGATAACGTATTCCCTCCAGGACATCTATCGCTATTTGTATACGTTCCAGCCACGAAAGACCGGCGTGTATACCGCAGTATAAATCGCGACTTAACCGGTCAGTGATTAAGAGAACTGCAGTGCCCAATCCGAATCCCCCGCCGTACGATTGGTCTACAACGGATCCGCGAAGCTTCACTATCCTTTTGTGATCTGGTATCGACCTGGTATAGTAAACCTCCATCGCGAGATCGTTCCAATGCCTCTCGTCCGGCGGAACAACGGATTTTACCGCGCATGGTCCCGGCGCACCGCCCCAACCGTCGCAAGCAAACACCACACCATACTGTCCTCTGCCAATCTCCTTGCCGTAATGAGGAATGCCGAAGCGAATCGCATCCATCATCGACGTGGATTCCAACGCGAGTTTAGCTAGCTTGGGTGCGTGGTACTTTCGTATAGCTATTCTCTGTTCCTCGGTCCTCTCCAGCTTCCCCGAATAATAGTTTTCTAGAGATTTCAAGGCAGTCTGGAAGGCGTCATGCGACGATTTCAGTTTGTCTCTAAACTGCGTGGAAATTGTTTTCGCCAATCTCGCTGCCGACAAGGAATTCAAGATATCGACAGTAACCTTCCGCCTCCAAGCCGTGTCCAGAGTCGGGGTAGGTGTCCATGGCAGCGGTAAAGATTTGAAGAGCTGTCTCAATCTTTCCAAGAACGAGTGCACCAAGGATGGTGACGAATTGTGCAATTCCACATTGTATGCCGCGGAGAGTATTTGCTTCAAGGCATCACTAGCTAACAGGCTGCTGTCGTGTTCGTAAGTTTTTTCAAGACTTATTAAGCAACGTTGAAGAGTCCCGATAAAAGTTTCTCGAAGACAGTTTACTGAGTTCACGAGCTCCTTCGCGACTTTCTCACCCAAGCGGCCTAGCACAAATCGTTGGACCTCCGACGTCGCAACACGAACAGTAACCGTCCACTCCGCTTCGCTATTATCGAAAGGAACGGTCTGATACTGGAAGATATCGCCAGTGGACCCTAATATATCGTCTTTCATCTCCTGAATAATACATTGTATTAATTCAGTCAATTCCACCTGCTGCTCATTAACAACCTTCATTAGACTAGCATAAAGTTCGTTTTCTTTCTGTTGGGCGTATTGTATCCTTCTAGGAGTGATCTGTATTTTTCGTGCCATGTCAAACGCACTTAAAATAAATTTACGTAGACTGGTTGTATGTATTTCATTCAAATAAGTGCTGGCGTTTATCAGATAGCTTTGCAGGCAGGCACGCGTGAAATGTAAAACGCGGTCCGTTTTTTTGCATGAATCCACTAGGTCGCTTGAATTATTAACGTAACGCTCGCCGACAAGCCACGTTAATTGATGAACTTCCACAGACTCTTCCATCCCTAGGAATCCTAAACTGCTCAACTGATCTAGCCACGTTAGACCGAGTGAATTCATTTTGTCAATATTAATACTATCATCACTCTTCGATTCCTTAGATACGCTCGGCACCTCTATCCGATTTTGCAGGCTATGCTGCTCAGACTCAGTCAATTCCGCGTCTGTGCCATCCAACGAAACATTAGCTAACGACGATATGAATAAAATCGGATTATACGGATAAGTCTCTTTCAAATCTCTCAATTCTTCCAAATTTTCTTCAGTCAACGGTTGCTCCCCGAGAGCGTAGAGAAATATAGGTAAAATTTTCAACGAGCCTTTAGCGAGAATTTTTACTACACCACTGTTGGGGACGACAAATATTTGAACACCTTCTTTCAGTATTGCTTGATCTAACTTCACTTCCAGCACTGTAGGGCAATTGATGTCTTCGTTTATCGATTTTTCTAGATCCTCGAATGGGAGCGTGCTCCATGATTTTTCGTTTGCCCGTAACGTCTCGACTACTTCGTATTCTAAACCTAACGTGAGACTGACATGATTCGTATGACCATACGTGATCTTGACCCATCTCCATGGATCGTTGGACAGCGGCAAGATATCGGCGGAAAGCAAGTTGTTAACCAGCGAAGCTTTGGCTTTATTATCTTGCCCAAAAATGACTATTGCGGGAGAATTATCAAGGATGTGTGTCACTCTGTCCAAGGTCAATGGAGGCAGTAATTCCTCGATGATATTCTCTACAAGAAACGTTATATAAATGTTAAATAAGACTAATCAACAGCTTATTAGATTTATCAATTTAAATGTCAAACATGAATAATTATGAATAATTACCTCCAGGGAAAAAGTTCTCAAGTTTTATAACCTCTAATGTACGCTGTGTCTCTTCAAGTATATGGTGTAGCTGATTCCTGTTCCTCTGATACTTCTTGAATTCTTGTGGTAAATTGCTTACCATTTTTTCTCACATTATTTTAGTCATGTGTACATTCCACAAAATGGTCATACCCTATCAATATTATTATACAGTTAATAAAACCATCTTTTGCAGTGCATATTTATGTAGAATCAGACTCGAAAACACAAGTGCTGTGACAATGTACTAAATTTTATATACATAAATCAGTATTTATTTCTCAAGTTCTGAATAAAATAGAATAGGTTAGAGCATGCAAATTTATCATATCCTTGCCAGCTACAGCACATATATATATATATATATCTTATGAAGCTACGAGACGCGCGGATGTAAACAACGTTCGCCGAGCCTGAATCATGTCCGAGAATAGTGCTCGCGTAAACAAGACCGACTAAAAATCTCAGCGTTTTATCGGACGGGGGACACCTCCCGGCAGCGAGTTGTCATCGCTCTATGATACTATGATCAATGATGTGCTCCACTGCTGCTCCACTGCTCCATCAGCTCGGTTCGTCCCGCGGCCGGAACGCGGAAACGGCGGAGACCGCGAGCATTGTTTTTCCGCGTGATCGTGGAACCGGCGCTTAAGCTCACCAGCGTAGGATTTCTCGCGGTCATACGAGCGCGAGAGGAGATTGAAGCTCGCCAGATCCGCCAGGTCATCCGAGCGCAGGCAATCCGGAGTCCGGGTCCGGACGTTAGCTCACGCTGCTCACGCGAGACCGCCGCGTACCGCGTATCGAGACATTCGAGACGTACGTCGCCGACGCATGCTGCCGCTGCCGACTAAACTCGAGTCACGTCACGAGTGGCTGTGGCTTGTGGCCCTGTGGCCTGTGCGTGTGCCGCTTCGTCCCGGTCCCGGAGTAGTTCGAGCCTCCGAGGGAACGCGAACGTATAATGTATACATTCTATAGATGCTATCGGCGCGACACGCCGCGCTCTTGACGCTCTTGGCAACGAAAGCGCGAAAAGTCGTGCGCGATAAGGTGCACGCATCGTTTAAGCTTTATTTACACGCGCGCGGCGGCGATCCACCTTTTTATCTTCTCATGGGAATATTGGGAATCGATGCGCGTCGATGGCAGCTGTTTATCAAATTAGAATAACTATCTGTTGCAAAAGAGGCAAAAGTCATCATTATATAGAGTTGTCAACTTGTCACTTGGTCAGGCTAGCTGGAATTCCAATCAGCGCTCTTCGCGACTCCAGTTTTAAAAAATATCTTGCGATGGATGTTGATCAGTGAAAACAAAAACCGATTTTTTAAAGAATCATGTTGGATGTTAACTAACTAATCGCAAAGCGATTCTTTGCTCTCTCGCCTATATAATATGTGCAGCTGTTACGCTCCAATTAGTATTTCAACGATTAGATGATTAAAATGTTTATTGAGTTTTATAAGCGTAAATATAGATAGACGTAAATATGTACTAAATGTATAAAATTCACGACTTACGATACGCGTTATCTTTTCGACGACTGCTCTCGGTATGTACGACTCCTCGACGCTGCAGCTTTATTAACGCACGAACTTGTATCCTCCCTCATCTGCATCGTCCGATTGACCGAATATTCTTATCCGATTTGCTTATCCGCCACGATCGTCACTGCTTAAATTAAAATATTCATTTAGGGATATGAATTGCTAAACGCGGACGTACGTGTCAATGGACTTTCGTTTCAATGGGACGGATGCACTGTCCCGTTATATGTACGCGGTAGCGTCACACTCGTCGCGATTAGGGATACGCAAACCAAGAAAGGAGAACGTAAACAAGGCTCCCCCGTTCGTGCAGATAATGCCACGCGGCGAAGACGTATGATGTACTTTTCCGCTTTTCAGAAATCGAGTTCGCCGCAGCCGCCCGCGTTAATCTGTCAACTGCGTACACAATCTTCCCGCTCTATAGCTGTGGTCCACTTAACCCTCGGTTGTCACCCGGGGTCAAATAAGTGACCCAAGACTATTTTTTTTATATTAAAGCACCATATCTTAAAAGTACTCTTATCTCAAAAGTAAAATTTTGAGCAAGAAACATTGAAAAATTAAAGTTATAATTTTGTTTTTTTTCCGGAACTTATACATTTTTTAAGGATTTTTTTGAACATGATGCCACTCAAAAAGTTGATTTTTTATAATAAGAATACATATTTTACAATGTTTAAACTTAATTCTAGATTTTTTTGTAATCCACTTAAACCGTTGTTAATTTTTGAACAGCAGTTGCTTGAAAATTGGTTGGGGTCAAATTGACCCCGTGTGACAAACGTGTTCGAAAAAAGAGGTGTGACAACCGAAGGTTAACACTACAAACGCTTCAGTGATGAAAGAAGAAGAATTTAAGAACGAGAAGAAGAAGAAGAAGAGGAACAAGGCTTCAAAGCATTTGTAACATCAAATGGACTGCAGCTTATTAAGCTTTCTTTTATTCTTTTAAAACGACCGATAAGCGGTAATAATCATCATGGTCTGCAAGTAGGAAAAATGTGGGAAAGTACGTTCCCGATGCACGAATCCGCATCGCAGACGCGAAGGCGCGATCGCAAAAGCCCTCTTTTTCCCGATGACTTCGATCAAAGCTTAATTGATTAACTTAACCAGTGATTAATTTAATCGGCAGAATTGCCTACGGCGGAATTTCTAGCTACAATAATATATAATTCGTTCCTAATCTAATCTTTCTTCACACGTCAAATTATAAAAAGTTCAAAATTCTCCAAATAACCGAATCTCTCGAAGGCAGATTTTTCTGTAAATTTTTTCAACAAATTGCTAAGAAATATAATAAAATCTCCGATGACGACTGCATGCAAAAACCGAGAAGCTGTCGTTTCGTAACTGCTTAAAAATAATATATTTTCTTTAAGTTACGAAACTACAGATTCTGCCTTGTATTGGTTTCTGCTGTCAAATTATGTTGGCGGATTCTGCTAGCTGTGCTAGCAGAATTTTAATGCGGGCGCAGTTGATAGCAATTAATATTAAATCGCATTTCTGCTGATCTCTGCATATTGATCGCGTTTTTGCGAGCGATAAAGAACGTTTGATAAGAAATGTATTCGACAGATTTACTTCTTGAGATTTATTACATTTATACATTTCAACTCCAAAGATTCCAGTAAAATCTGCTTGATTATTTTGTTCTCATTACTTTGCATATATACATTTATATACATCTGTCGAACGATCGCCCCGACCTTTGTGGAAATCTCCATTACGCTATCGGTCATTTCGAATACTTGCGCGCGACGCGCGACCGATGGAATCTCATGGAAACGGCCTTTAACCTCTCCAAACATAACCTCTAGAATTAAGCGGTTCACCGGGTTCACCATTTTTTCTAAACGCGACGGACGATCACGATTTTGACGTTTCTCATCCGAGAACGATTCTTTTATAGTTCACGAGCCCGATTACCAACGGCCTTGATTACCAATCGAAATGGCATCGGCTTTGGAATCTATGGTAGTCGATGAAAAACAGCTTCCCGAGAAGCCGGTGGACAGAGAAAAGGTAAAGGTGACGAGACAATAACAAGCGTTTTCCAGAAATGTCCATCTCGTAGACTTAAGTGCTTTTTTAACCGTAAATGCGATAACATTGCATTTGTTTGCACTTCAGACGTGTCCACTTCTACTGCGAGTATTCTGCAACACCGGACGACATCATAACATAATGGAGTACAGCAGAGGGAATGTCCCTTCGAACGAGCTGCAGATATACACATGGTAACATTAACATTGTTTATGACGGAGAGACCATAAGATTTTATATCTCGTTATGATTCTCTGATTAATTTAATGTGAATTCTCTTACACTGTTGTAAGAAGTCATCTCTAATTTTAATTATTTCTGTGTATAAAGGATGGATGCAACTTTGCGAGAAATTACAGGCTTAGTTAAGGAAGTGAATCCGGACGCTCGCAGCAAGGGAACGTACTTTGACTTTTCGTTAGTGACTCCTGAGTTACGCAACTCCGGTTATCGCATGCGTGAGATTGGTGTTACGTGTTCCGGACAGAAAGGCGCAGATGACAACAAAACGCTAGCACAAGCAAGGTAATAAATCTTGATACATGAATTAGAATCTTGATAAATTTCTTAATACTTGAATTAGGAAAGATGATTTTTTAAAATCAGCATTTATACTTGATTATGTACGTATTTTGTATAATTATAGGTTCACAATAGGAGATTATCTGGATATATCGATAACGCCGCCAAACAGGATGATGCAACCGGCAGCTAGACGTGGTGGTTTACGTCAATATTAATATAATAATTTCAGTGTTTAAGTTATGATAAGATCATGTCTCTTACAGATGGTACGTAAATGTCACTACACAGAATTCCAGAAAGACTTCCTAAACTTTTGTATCTATAAATAAATAAAAAATCATTTTCTTTAATTTCTTTAAATTTGCTGCATTAAATATTAAAATTTTTTATTATATGTTTTTTTAGCAATAAAGCTAGATTCTTCTTTGAAATATTCCTAAAACTAAAGACATTCCTAGGAATGTCACATCCCTGGGATTCCTGTTAATTATGAAGTTAATGCAATTATTAGGCAGAATCCCTGGTAACACAATCTGATGGTTCAGATAGAAGTCCCGAAGAAGTGCGCAAAAAAACAGTCCAAAATTGCGACAAAAGTGCATAATATCTGTGATTGAACGAGTACTTACTGTACTATTGCAGCAGTCTGCTGTAAGAAGCTACTGTGAAAATTTATATATAAAACTGTCGCAATTCTTGCGCACTTTTGTCGCAATTTTGGACGTATCTGAACTATCAGATTGTGTTACCAGGGATAATTTATTAGCTGTAAATTTTGATGTCTCTGATATAATTTGTGTTTTAGATTTGTATATTCAGAGAGAAGACTGAGAGCGGCCACGTCGGCGATCTAGTGAGTTCTGAAATTGTGAATGTACCTTTGCACAATATCAGGCAACAGGCAATAGGAACAGAAAACAGAAATCAAAAATACTGAATGGACGATGACACAGGCAACGAGCACAGAATTTCCAACGTGACGGAAAATCTCTGTATATTGCCTGTATCATTGTCCATTCTATATTGAAACATTTTATTGCCTGTTGTCTAGCATTGTGCAAAGACCTTTACATTCACAATTTCAGAACTCATTGGATCGCCGGAGTACCACTCGCAGTCTTCTCTCTGATTCAGATTATACTTGTGATTAATATCACAAATAATCACAAATGATTTTTTTTCTTCGTTAAGAAATCGTTTGTGTTTATGTAATACCTTTCTTAAAAAAAAAAAGTAAAGAAAGGCGCCAAGTACACGTATAGTAGTGTATATGTTGTTAAATAAAAGTAATTTTAATTTTAATTTTGATATAATTTAAAAAAAAAAGATAAAGAGACAAAAATCACCTGTTCGCTCTCTTTCGACCTGGTAGCTTTCGCTTGGCAATAATTTACGCAGAATTCGTACAAAATGCCTTTGATGATGAGCTGAATGAGCTGATCGTTTTTTGCCGAGGTGATCGGATGCGCGGGGTCGGCGCTCTTCCTGTCGCCCGGCAGGAACTTCTCTACTAAAGGGTGAACCTCGCGGAAACATTACACCCTCGCGTTACTGGGATTCTAGTCCTTGTACTGCAGGTGATCCGTCAGCCGCGGCAGAGTAAGCAACAGGCACAGGCTGCTGTATTCTTCCTTAGAAGGCGCGACCTTTTCGAGGTCGCTCAACACCTTGACAACCTCCTCCACGGCGTTGTCGACGGTGCCGTTTGTCCCGGCGGCGATAACGTTCGCCTCAGACTTGATGCACAGCAGCTCGACATATTTGTGGCGCAGGATCGAGTACGTAAACTTTCTCATGTCGAAATTCGACACATAGGTGGGTAATATGCCACTTTGCAACACTTTTGTATTTCTTTCTTTTTAACATTAAACAATCAAAATATTTCATTAAAACCATATATAAATAACAGATAAGAGAAAGAAAAAGAAAACCAGTATCCAAAGATACCTAAAAAAAAAGAGAAATAGGAAAAAAATCATATTTTTCTTAAGTATGGCATATTCCCCCGAGTTACCCTATAAAAAACTGCGTTGACAAAAAAATATTATAAGCGTCAATATTTTATGTGTTTTCCAATATATTTTCGGTAATACAATAGGCTATTTGTGTTGATAATGATTCAAATTTGCTGGAAAATCTAGCCAATAGTTTTATCTCAAAGTTAAGAATTCTCAATTGTTTGTTGTAATTATTAACATTGCATAAAAAAGGACACCAATTTGATTGTCCTTGTGATTTGTTGATACGTATGTACACAGTACCTATTATTCTACTTTTTGAACGTCGATAGTACGTTTTTCGATTCATACGATAGCTGTTAAGCGAGGTTTCTATCGCGCGGACTTACGCAGGGTAAATTTTCCGTTGCCATCAGTAAATAAAAATAAATAAATTAATTAATTGTAGGTAATTATATAAATTTTGATTTATCTCCCGACCTCTCTTCCGAAAGATCATAAAGATAAAATTGAGAAGTTTAATTTAAATCGAAACAAGAAGCAAATTTCTTCGGTAATTATAAAATTAAAATTATATATTTCTGATTATCATTTAAGATTGATAAAAGCTATCATATAAAGATTTCCCAAGGATTAAAAATATCATGACCCGAAGGTAGGAAGGTACCATTAGATAACTGTCTATCGTTTATTCTAATGTGCAATATTAAAGTGATACATATTTTATTATGACAGTATAATATTTTTAAATAATTATATCCAATAATTTAATTATTGGAGAGTTAATTATTATAACTTGGAAATATTTTATATAATTCAAAATTATTTTAATAAGAAGTGCGTGTTATAATTACCATTACAATGCTATTATTGAGCAGAAACAATTTCAGAAATACATTTCTCTCTCTCTCTCTCTCTCTCTCTTTTTTTTTTTAAGTAAAATATTAAAATATTAACTGTATTTTACAAATTAAAAATTATTTTGGAAGATATATATCATGTAAAACATAATTTTTCAGCTAAAAAATTTATTTATTTGGTCGAAGTTAATTAAATGTAGCAAGATTATTATGGCATGATGTATTACGGACACTCTCTGATATTGAGCATTTTTACTGACATGTTGGACGAGTGGATGGAAAGGATATAAAAACCGGTGACGGTATATTTAAATCTTGTTTGTTGCATACCAACAGAAAATCAGAAAAAGCAGAGTGTAGAGGTTGAAATATATCAGATTAAGCATCTGTAGCTGACAAGCAGCAAATTCTTCGCTCCAGAGAGATTTTATTTGTGCATGTAATACTACAGCGATACGGTATATTATACGACTAAAAAATAAAATAGAAATATATAGCCAATTAAAAATAAATTTATAAATTGAATAGAATTTTATATTAATCTCTTATTTTTATAAATTTTTTAACTATATTTTGTGTAAAGTTATTGTCTGACGTAAATGAATGTCTGTATAATTTAAAATTGTTAAAACGTTGTTTCCCCAAGGATAATTAATATAAAAATTAATAGAAATTTTTTAAATGTTCTATATGTGTTGTTGAAAGAAGGGCTGTTGGCATATTTACAAAATACTATAAATTCTAGAAATAATTTCTTTCGTTCATGTATCACATATAGTGCACTACATGAAGGAAAACGTAAACACAAGACTTGTTTACTATATATTTTTATTAAAAAACTTGGACTTATATTTCGCATACGAGAAATTATGAAAATTAATATTTAATAATAGATATAGTACTTTATGTTTAAGTAAATATAGATGTAATGTCTAATATCTAAAAAAAGTTGGTTGTTTTATTTGGCTTAAAATGCCTAATTTAATTGTATTTTGTTTAATAATAATTATGAACAATTAGGGGTTAAATTTATCAAGTTCAACCTGATTCTTCATTACGTATTCGCAGGGAAAGATATACGTTTTGTACACATTAGGCAGTTTCTACGTCGGTTATTGTTGGCGCTTGTAAAGTGGGAGGAGTGCAAAAGCGGCGGAAAGATTGTGGGGTGGCTTCTTACCGCAATCACCTGCGGCTATTTTAAAGACACTTCCACTTTAATTATACCAAACCGCTCTCGCGATATTACGATATTATGATATTACGAAGCATAAGCCGGGTCCCGGAGATTTAGGGTCGCGGAAAGTTTAAACTGTGCACACCCCAAAAACCCATCCCAGTCTCCTCCCGTTACGATTTCTCCTCGACCGTTATCTAACTTCGACGATAGCGTTACTACCCGTTTTCGTTTTCCAGTATTGCCGGAAAATACCTACCTACCTCCCCTGAGGTAGGTAAATATATAAGCTAACGTAAGACGTTACTGTTGGGGCGATAACATGGAATGTCTGACGTAGCTGCGCGGTACTTCTTCTACAATAATATTATATCCTTTAAATATAAAAGATATAAAGATTTGATTCTCTAATCGTATCTTATTAAAATTATATCACGTAATTCAATTTAGGTCCTAATTTATTTCAAAAGAAATTTATTTTAAAGATCAGATTTGCTGTAATTGCGAAAAAGCTTTGCAAAAACTAATAAATTGTGTTATTTTATAATTAAATATTATTATTTTATTGTCTAATATTACATTTGTCGCTATATTAAGAAGCGAGTCTAATGATATTCATAATATCTTTATATCACAAAGCTTAATTCTTTTTCGACGGATGTACTAATAATCGCATATTATCACATCAGACCTGCTAACCGTAAAATACGCGCTATATCGTATAGAAAAAAATTTTAATGAGAAAGTAAAGTTTAAAGCACCGGGGAGGTTTGTAGAGACGGTAGAGTGGATTTAGCGTGCATTAAGGGCCGCACCTTCTCTCTAGAAAATTCGCGGGTGTAATCAGTAATCAAATTTATTAGTTTCTATTGTCTTGGGGGGCGAAATTCTTTTCCGATTTTATGGCGTGGAAAGACGATATAATAAGGAGAGAGCCGCCTCGAGCGAAGCTGCGAGTAACGAGGGAATAAGAATGGCTAGGCGGTCGGGGGTGGCACGGTTTCTCGGTAGGAAGGGAGGGAGGGGGGCAAGATTTACTGGACTCGCTAGTGGCCGCCAACTTCGTAAGGGATACCTTCTCGAAAATATTAAAGCGATATAATGCGAGCACGCGAGAACTTAAACGAGCGCTTTAGAGAACAATAAAATTGCTTATATCGAATTGTTATTTGGACGCAAAAACTTACTCAGATTTACCGATCTGGTTTTTATTTTTAACTATTTCAAGCAGATTAAAGTATTACTTGCTTTACTTGACTCTATAAATGTTATAGCTTTCTTAATTATTTTTATCTAAACTTTTTATTTTTAAATATATTGAATTTATAAAAGAGAAGTATATTTGAAATACACATTTCTTCTTTA